CTTCGAACGCAGCGCTGGCGGTCGCCGCGCAGCGCGCGGGTGCCCCGGCAGAGTGTGTCCAGTGCGCCAGGCTCGCCCAGTGCGAGATCTGCTTAGGCAGGCAGAGGCCCCGATCGGTTCGCGTCGCAGTGCTGCCGAGGGCCGAGAGTTTCAACGAGGTAGTCTGCACCGACGTGTACTGCGTCACGTGGAAGAAGAAGGAGAGGGAGATCCCGGCCAATTTGGCGAGTTTGCACGCTACCAGGTCGACTACCCGATCTCGAAGGAGACGTTCCTGAAGGAGGCGAAGTTATGGGGGGAACTATGGGTCAGCTGGGCCGGCAAGCCTGAGACGACGCGCGTGGACATGGGGGCTCGCGCGCGGCCAGGCGCGCGCGCGACTGGGCGAGCAAGCGCGGCGTCAAGCTCGGCCTGGCCCCGAAAGGTGCGCACCGCAAGTTGGGCCTGATGGGGCGGGGTCGCGCGGCCAGGAGGGGGCAGCTCAGCAAGTGCCATCTACAGTTCCGCGACGACTCGCCCAAGACCGCCCTCAGGATGACCGCCGGCCAGCGGGGCGCCCTGAGGAGCTCGCGCGGGTTCTCGCCCGCGGCGCTGGCGTTGGGGGCGCTGCCTGAGATCCCGGGCGCCCTGAGCGACGAGGACTTCGGCCTGTTGGGGCAGGCCGCGCAGGTCGACGCCAAGAGCGAGGTGCGCGAGATGATGATCAGGGGAAGGACTGCCGCGACGGCCTTCGTCGAGGCCAACTGCTCGCGCGCCGCGCGAGCAGCGCTGCTGGCGCGGCGCGGGCCAGCGAGGAGGAACTGCGAGAGCGGCGAGCGGGTCTACTTCTGGCGACCCGAGCAGGCGCGGGGGCTGGAGAAGTGCCGTTGGCACGGCCCAGCTTTTGTGGTAGCAGAGGGAGCGAAGGTCAACGAGGACAGCGCGATGCGCGCCTCGGTGGTGCGGGCGACGCACGGACGCGCGAACAACCGTTGCGCCGCGGAGCAGCTTTGCCCCGAACTGCCGGGCGAGGCTCGCGGACGAGAAGGACGCAGCGAGGGCCCCAACATCCCGCTCAGCAGAATCGAGGAGCCCAGGCGCGTGCTCGCCGAGGAGGGGCGCTTGCCCCAGTGCGACGACAACGTGGGCGACATGGGCGAGCAGCGGCAGCCCAGCGCCCAGGCGCCCATGGAGACGGACGAGACCGACGGCCCGGCAGGAGCAGCTGCCGCGGCGGCTCCTGGATATCCTCAGCCGACGACGGCCGGCGAGGACGAGGACGACGGACCAGCAGTGGCCAGCGCCGGCGTGTCTGGCAGCGCTGCGCAGGAGCCTAGCAGGTTCCGCATCGAGGCGATGGCGAAGAGGAGTGTCGAGGAGGCTGAGAAGCTGGGCGGCGTCCCGCCGGCCAAGCGCGCCCGCCTGTCGCGGGCGAAGCTCGCCCCGCAGAGCGAGGAGGCTGCGCTCGCCGACGAGGTGGGCGACGAGATGCTGTTCGAGGAGTCCGCCGAGACAGTCTACATGCTGGTCTTCAAAAGAAAAGCCCCCGCCATCGTGGAGGGTGGGCTGACGCCCGAGGAGAAGGGCCAGTTAAACGCGGCGAGGCTGGAGGCCCTCGAGGTTATCAACCGCAATGACGGCTGGGGGCCCATCAACGAGGCGGATGTGGATCCTGGAGCCTGCTGGCCCCTGCGCTTCCTATTCAAGTGGAAGATGAAGGATGGGCAGAAGGTGGCCAACGCGCGCGCGCTCAACCAGGGGTTCAAGCACCGCGACGTCGCCGAGGGCCAGCTCGACAAGGAGGCGCCGACCCTCAGCAGGCTGGGCCGACGCACGGTCATGCTCTGGGCGTCTCTGAGGGATTGGTGGTTGTTCAGCGCGGATGTGAAGTCCGCATTTCTGCAAGCTGAGGACGCGAGCGCACACGGCCTCAAGCTGCGCGCGAGCCCGACGAAGGAGATGAGGGAGATTCTCTCTCGCCAGATCGGCCTACAACCTGGACAGCTGCTCAAGTTAATCAAGCCGTGTATTGGTGACGCGCGGTCGCCCGAGCTCCGGCGCCACCGCGCCGACGAAGTCGCAAAGGAGATCGGGTTCAGGAACCGCAAGCTCGAGGATTGCCTGTTGCCGCCCCTGCGCCTGGCGAGGGTCGACGACGACCCGTTCGACGCGCGTAGCTTCGAGGGCCAGACCTACGCGGTGGATGGCCTGGTCGGCAAGCGCGTGGGCGACTCTATCCGGCGCGGCGAGGGCGCGACGAACGAACGGGACTTTCGCGCGAAGCCTGGCGATACCGAGTGCTTCCAGGCGCGGCCAGGGACGCTCCGCGAGATCTTTGAGTTCGGCAGGTGGGCTTTCGAACCGAGTCTGATCTTCACTGGAGGCGAAGTGGAGCAGTCCCTGAACAATTGCAGCGTGACCCTTGAGTTCGAGAAGTACCTGCGCGCGGTGAAATCCATCACCGTCGAGAACCATCGGAGAGCTGACCCCGCGAGTGCGATGTCGCCGAAGGAGCTCGCGAACTCAGGGCTCTGAGTGAACAGTCGCAGTGGCCGGCAGCCCAACGGGTGATCATAGCAGCGGCCACTGCGTCCTCGCGAGCTTCGGCGACAGGACGAGCCACCGTGCAGGACCTCTTGGATGCGAACAAGGACCTGCGCTTTCTGAAGGTCAACGCGGACGTAGGGCTGTGCTTCTGGTTCGACAAGGCCCGGGACAACCTGCGAGTTGGCGGCTGCGCCGACGCTTAGCTGGGTTCGCAGTAAGGCTGCGCGATCTTCATCGGACCCGCGGACGAGCTCAGCGCCGGCACTCGCGCACCTTTCGCGGCCGTGGAGTGGGCCTCGAAGAAGTTGCAGCGTCTGTGCAGGAGCTCGCTTTCGGCGGAGGCCCAGGCAGCAGCCTTGGGCGCGGACTCGCTGATGCGGGTGAAGGTCTATCTGGCGTGGCGGTCGCGACCCGACCTGGAGCTCGAAGAAACGCTGATGTACTTGGGGGAGTCGCCGGTCATCTCGGGCGCGAAGTGCCTCTACGACGCGTCGCGCTCAGCGACGGCAGGTCTGGGCATCGCGGAGGAGAGGGCGGCCGTCGAGGTGGAGGTCGTGCACGAGCAGATGGCGGAGATAGGCGCCACCTGGAAGTGGGTGAACACGCAGCAGCAGATGGCGGACGGACTTGCCGAGCTATCGGCCCGCCAGATGATGGCAGACGTGCTGCGCCGCGGTGTGAATGCGATGCTCTGCAACCCCGACTTCGTGGCCGGCTTTCCGAGAGGGCGATGGGGCAGCGCGAGATGGAGCTGGATGACGCTGGCGAGGCGCTGCGCGACACCCTCGAGGCGCCGCCTGCGACGAAGGCGAAGGAGAAAACGCAAGCCAAGGGCAATCGCCAATTTGGTGCGAGTGTAGTGAAGCTGACGGCGGCACTGGCTGCCGGCGCTGGCCGCTGCGCGGCGTGCCAGGTGATGCAGCGCGCGCCCAGCGGCGTCGAGGGGTTCAGCCCGCCGGCGCTGGCCGTCTGGAACGACATGATCCTGAAGATGGTGGTTTTCGGCTTCATGATGGCACTTGTAGTGGCATTCGACTGCGGGTTCCGTTCTGGAGCATGGTGCGCCAAGCAGCTCGAGCACGACGTGGAGATCGAGAAGCCGCGCGAGTTTGAGACAGTGCCGGCGCCCATCAAAGTCAGGGCGACTGTGACCGGGACCGACCAGAAGCCGACGAAGCAGAAGAAGGTGCGCAGCGCGCGCGTCCAGTCGCAGTGTCGCTACAAACTGGCTCTCAGCACGCCTAGGTTCCAGCCGTTGCCCGAGTGCGCCCATGGGGCTTTCGTGACAGGATGAAGGGGAACCCAGAGGCCTCTTTGGCATTAGGCCAGTTTGGTATGATGGTCGGCAAGGCCGACGTGGGCGACTTGGTCGCTGGAGGCCGACTCGTACGTGAGTGCTCCTAGGAGCACACTTTCTGCATGTTTCTGCCCTGCGAGATAGACCGATCGCCAGGTGTGCTGGCAAATTCAATAGATCTGAACGTCGTTGTCGCGACCGCCGGTGAGCTTCACATTCGAGTCAGACTGGCTTGTGCCAGGAACATGCGGTGTTGGCGTCGTTTTATTTGCTTTTGTTTCGGTCCTGTTCCCGTTTCGAGCTTCGTGGTAAAATTCCGGGGAGCCCTGATCTTGGCAATGTGCGTTTTGAGCGAATATGTGCTAACTCTTTTTTTCCGCCCGTGTCAATCTAACTCCGCCGTACCGAGTTACGCGTACGTAGTTATATGTATTTGCACAGCTCAGCAGCTTCAGCATAACATGATGTGTTCCAAGCAGTTGTTTCACATGTGTGTACCATTGCCATTTGATGCTGAGTCAGGTAAAAGGTTGCGTGTCTCACGAGCTGATACGAGTATCCATATAATCTGTTCTAACGAACACATCCCGAGGAGACTTCGTGTGTTGCCATCGGTTGACAATTGGAGGCCCCGTGCAACCCTTCTTGGCCTCACTTGGAGCTATCGTGGGCGATATTGGAGCCATCTTGAGGCATCAGCAGGCTATCAGCAGCGACGTGGGGAGAACGCCAACATCACTTACTGGGCATCCATTGGAGGCTCTGAGGCCACTTGGAACCATTCGGAAGCATGCTGGCGGTTACCAGGTGGTCTGGGAAGCTTGGGTGGCCGTGTGGGACGCGTCCTGGAGGCTTCGTTGGGGATCTTCTGGTGATTCTCCCTGCCAGGACCCCGAGGGCCGCCACGCGCGCGCGAGGTGTAGCATGCGCGCGCTGATGACTTGACGTCGGAGGCTACAGCACGCCTTTGGCCCAGTGGGCACCGCCATCATTTTTGCTGGACGCTTGTAGTGCGCTCTGCGCCTCCTGCGCTCATTCCTCAGTGTGATCTCTCGTTATCATGGGCTGTATCATCCATTTCATGGGCATTTGCGGCGAAGCGCAATACACGTGATGAGTCCGGATGATTTTAGCACACGGTTTGAGTGTGGGGCTCGTTCATAATTCCCATGCTGAGGTTATCCGCCGCCTGGACACTATGGCTATCCGCCGCATGAACCTCCTGGTATGGGCCCAGGGCGCTTTCACGGCCGCATCAAGACCTTCAACATGAAGCACGGCTTTGGTTTTATCGATTGTCCTGCGGACGGGCGGGGTAGTTTTGTGGATGGGGAGTTGTATGGAAGGGAGTGGTAACGATCAGTGGAAGCATGTGTTCTTGTCTTCTGACAGCTTTACAGGACGCATGTGCACTGACATGTGTGGGTCGCTTGGCGGTATCCTGTGGATGCGGAGCTAAATTTCGGCCGGGCGAGGATACGCGTGTGCTTCTCCTGATCGGGAGGTGCCACCACCCTGGCAGCCCAAGAACAGTTCCGTGTCGGCACGAGCCTGTGCTTCGTCTGGTGCTCACATCTGGCCCGCCGTTACAGATAGGTTGCGTGGACCAGTTTTGGAGATCTGCCGCGCGGGGAAGTTCTCTTGGACGGCGAGAGCTGTCAGGGCGCTCCCTGCTGCCGCGGGGACAGGACCATGCCCGACGGAAGCGCGAGGCGGTCGATCGGGGGGCGGCGGTGCCGAGAGCGGTGCTGTGCGTGGCACTCTTCGGGCTCGCGGCGCCGCCGTGCGCAGCCACATGGCGCCCCCGAGGAGAAGCCCGAGAGGAGGAGGAGGAGGAGGAGGAGGAGGAGGAGGAGGAGGAGGAGGAGGAGGAGGAGACCGTGGCTCGGGGCAAGCCAGCTGACCACCTCGCCGACCCGATCCTGGGCCAGGGATCGTAGACAAGCGCATCTCGCCGCGTGTCGCCCTCGGCAGAGGCTGGCGGAAGTCCGGCCGAGGGCGGCAGAAGCAAAACGGGGGCGGCTCCGTCGGCGGAAGCCGGCGGAGAGCGGCGGAAGTAAAGGATAGATGTCAGCACTCTTGGGTCCGGACTACCCCGAGTCGGCCATGTGAGTGGCGTCGTTCGGCGCCGTTTGCTGTGCCCAGGGGCTGCATTGGTCCGCTGTCGTTCAGATGAGTGCATGATTCCAGTGGGGATCCGTGTACATGTTCAGAAACGTGTAACCTTGCTCTTGTTCCCTTCGAACCATGCTGTCACCATGTCAGTGGATCAAAAGATCAAGACCCTGGCGATTTCGGTGTGAAGAAGATAGGGGAGTGGACGCGGGGCAGTGAGACTGACCTTTTGGGTATGCCAGCATTCCGCAGAGCGGCTGCGCTGTTCGCTCCTCGTTTGCAAGGCCTACCACCGTTTCAAGAGAGACGTCTTCATCCACAAGGCCGGCGTTGTCACTTCAGCACGGCAGTATTGATCTCGAAAGTTCTTCATCCTGTCTTCGTGGCCTTGGTATCGAGCGCAAGACTCGCAGACAAACGCACGACATAACAGAAGTTTTCGGAGGTCCGCGCGGATTCCTTGGATCAAGCGCCAGCCCATTCCTGTTCAGGATGTCCTATGGTCCCAGGAAGACGGAGTTTGGGGGGATAGCCTACCCTGCCAGGCGCTCGGATTTGTTGCCCTCTCTTCCCCTCTCCTCCCGTCCCCGGTCCTCCGAACTCCTGCCCTTCCCTCGCATCCCTGTCCCTGCTCGTGTGCTCAGGCATCCTCGCTCCGATCTGCCCCCTTCTCCCCCTCCCCTCTCTTCGCAGGCCCGAGTCCCGCCGGCCTTCCATGTTTTCCCTCGGCTGGGAGCAGCAGGGAGCCGCAGGGAATGGCAGGGAGCAGAAGTGAGCAGCAGGGACAAGCAGAGAGCAGCTGGGGCAGCGACGACGACGCGGGCGACGACGCGGACGACGACGACGACGATGACGACGACGACGACGACGGCGACGCCCACGACGACAACGATGACGACGATGACGACTACGACTTCCTCACTTCACGACGTGGTGCATTTCGGAATCGGGAGTCTGACGTTCCCATGCTCAGCATGGCTGTTTCGGCTCCGCACGGGAGAGAGTTAGAGTTAGAAAGAGAGAGAGAGAGAGAGAAAACTACGAAGTGCAAGAAACAACGAAGAGCACAGAGTATCACAGAAGGACATGTAATGACGGATGGTAGTGTTCAAGGGGGAGCGGAGGGGATAAGAATTACAAAGGACGGACAGGAAGACGTGCGCATCCAGATGTGACGCTTCATGTGGAGCCTTCGAGGCCATATGCCACAATCCATCGCAGGTGAACATTTGTCAGTGAAGCAGTAGTCGAATCAACATGCGCCACGACTACCTTCACTGCGCCAGGGAACAGAGCTAGCGCGAAGTAGGCTGCGAAGCACTCCATGAAACGAGACGTGATACGAAAGTACCAGCATGCGACAAATGCGTGAAGTTCAATGCGATGAGAGGTGTGAAGCCACGTGCCAAGAAACTTCAGGAAGCATATGCGATCAGCAGGTGAAGTAGGAGCGAGGGTACCACAGCTAGCTGCCCCCCTCCCCAGCCTCTAAAGAAGCCTCAGCTCGTCGAGTACGCATCACCTATTCATGCATGTTTGGTTTGCTGATGTCCTGATCGACGCTGGCAACTTCTTTTCCCAAGCAGAGCTTGCACGAATGGGTTCTTGCTCGCTGCTCGCCTTCCTGGTCAATCGGGCGGGCTCCCCAGGTGTTCGCACCCGTGGGCAGCGCCCGTCGCCGCCTCGTCGCCGCCTCGTCGCCGCCCCGTGCGCTGGCTGGGCTCCTCGTGTTTCTCGCACCCGTGGGCGCCCGTCGCCGCCCCGTCGCCGCCCTGTGCGCTGACTGGCCCTCCCACGGAAGACTAACTTCTGCCCCCGTGCGGAGGCCAGACTTCACGGCCCCCCACGGGGCACTGTCTGGTCCTGTTCAGCAGGCGCGATCGGCCTGCATACGAGGTCCTGCTGTCCTGGCCAAGCTAGAATCGACCCCTCCCCCGTCATCCCTGGCAGCTCATACCATGCGCTGCACGCCCGTTGACCCAACGAGTGCCTTCTGTACGAGCCCCATCAAAGAATGCATCATTCCCCATGCCGAGGTCAGACTTCACGACCCTCCTCCGCGCTCTTGCCTTTCATAGCTATTATTCAGGAGGCCTACGCCGTTCCGCCGACCCCAGAAGAAGCGGGGAGTCCACGGGTGAGGCGTCGTGGGCTTCTTGGGGCACTATCTGGGGACTGTTGTGGCCGTCTTGGGAGCTTTCTGTGGGCCTTGCGGAGCCTCTTGGAGGCAGTTTTGAAGCGTCTTAGGGCCCGTTTTGGGACCTCTTTTGGGCCTCTTGGGGGCATAGTGGGGCTTATTGGGGGCCTCTTTTGGGCCGCTTGGGGGCTTCTTGCGGCCTTTGGGGGGCCTCTTGGGGGGGAAGGATAGACTGTTCGCATCGTGTTCTCTTTCTTTTTGCCTCTCTTGGGGCCCTCTTGGGGCGATCTTTGGCAGTCTTGGGCTCCACTTTGGCCGTCTTGGAACCCTCTTGGGCCGTCCTGGGGCCCTCGTCGGGGCCTCTTGGGCAGTTTTTGCGTGCTCTACGGGGCCTCTTCGGCAGTCTTGGAGCGTCGCATGCCCGAGAAGACGATAACCACAGAAACAATGAAACAGCTATGGTAAACCACGGATTTTTGCCTCTCGGGGACCTCTTGGGAAGGCTCTCGAGGCGTCTCGAAGGCCTCTTGGGGTCTCCTGGGGGCGTCTTGGGGCGGAAGGCTTGGATTTTTGGCTCGTGTTCCCTCTCTTGGGCCCTCTCTTGGGCCGTGTTCGGGCTCTCTTGGACCGTCTTGGGCGCCTTTTGGGCCGTCTTTGGGCGCTCTTGGGCCGTGTTAGGGTCTTCTTGTAGGCCTCTTGGGCTGTCTTGGGGGCCTCTTGGGGGCTTCTTGGGCCGTCTTGGGGCGTCGGAAAACAGAAAAGGCGAGAGCGCCCAAATTCTCCAAAAACCTCAGGAAACCAATCATTACTTTGGCCCCTCGGGCCCTCTTGGGGAGACTCTTGGGGCGTCTCAGAGGCGTCTTGGGGCGTCTTGTAGCCATCGTAAGCGTCTTGGGCAAATCTTTCAGCGATTCGGACCGTCTTGGAACGTCTTTGGGGCCGTCTTGGGGACCTCTTGGCCGTCTTGGGCGCCGCCTGCGCTGTCTGGGGGCGCTCTCAGGCCGGCTTGGGGCCCTCTTCGAGGCCTTTTGGTCCGTCTAGGGGCCTGTTGGGGGCCTCTTGAGCCGTCTGGAGTCGTCGGGCAACAGAAAAGGCGAGAGCGGACAACAGAAAAGGCGAGAGCGCAACAGCCTTTCGAAAGCCAGACGAAAACCATTGAGTTTTGCCTCTCGGGCCCCTCTTGTGAAGGCTCTTGGGGCGTCTCGAAGGCGCCTGGGGGTGCCTGTAGCCATTGTAAGCGTCTTAGGCCAATCGTTCAGCGATTCGGAACCGTCTTGGAACGTCTTCGAGGCTACGGACGTCAGATTCTCTGGGGTGCGCCAGCGAGCCCGACTAGCCCGGATACCCTCTATCCTCCTCAAGCGGAATTTTGGACCCTGGGGGAGGGGAAAAGGGGGACACGCCTTCTCACCCCTGGCAAGCGGGGGTCGGCGGATTATGTACGATCGTTGGTCCTGCCCGTGAATTCATATTATCCTGGCCAGGTCCCTTTCTGATCCCCCCCCGCACCCCTGTCAAATGATGCAGAGCAATCGTTCTGATGCTACAAGTACATCTCCAATGACTCCGTGCGAGAAGTGCCATGCAGGCAACACGATTGTGCATAGGCCAAGGCCCTCCCACATCTGACAGCTATCACACGCGAATGCTCAATGCAGCCACCGCTTGCTTATCATTGACCATTCCGTACACACGCGTGGCCAAATCATTCAACAGTCACCGCGTACCCGCCAAGCCTGTCACATTCGAGCATCAGGGCCGCACCACGCGCGCATGTCGAAAGCACGGAAGCACATTGGTGTCCCAAGCACTTCAAGCTAGATGCGTCCAAACACACATATGATATACAATGTATTCTTCGACGCCCTATTATGTCAGAACTTCTTCCCACGTGCACTTCCTCACCACCCTCATCTGCGCGATCATCATCACTTCCACCGTCATCATCACTATTCCCTAAGTAGTGCTTGCACTCATGGGTACTTACTTCTTCTAAGGAACTGGAACTGGATATCGGTCTTGCGGCTCCGTGCTCGCCGTCGCCGCCCCGTCGCCACCTCGTCACCGCCCGTCGTCTGGGCCTGAATGTCGGTCTGGCGGCTACGTGCTCGCCGTCGCCGTCCCGTTGCCGCGCCGTCCCCGCCTAAACTGTACAACCGAGGCTCTCGTTCCAAACAAGAATTAGGATCCACCACCCTCCAGAGGCCTGACTTATCAGTACCCCCTGGGGATGTGCAAATCCTAAGTATGAGTTCGTACCATCTCAGCCAGGCCGGACTTGAGGCCGACGAATTCACACCCCGTGCGCATGCATACATACAGGTGCACCATAGATTACAGATCATATCTTGCGCCACGCAGATTGCACCACATTTACTGCACATCATAACTTGCACTCCATAGCTTGCACGACGTAGTTTGCGCCTCGTATGCTGCACCACGTACAGTGCGCATCGATCGTGTAAGATGTCAGTGTTTGGAGCCCATGCTGGCAAACATGCTTGTTCAGGAAAACGGTTCTCATGCCGAGAGGGTGCGCGTTTTTTCTTTCTCAGGCGTCGCGTCTCGCGCCCACCTCTCTGTGTCCCCTACTGTTTCCCACTCATGTGCATAGGCTTGTCGCTCGCATGCAAGGCGCAGATAGGCGACTTGGAGGTCGGCGATGACGTCACGTTCAAGATAGAGACGAACAAGGACGGCACGCCATGAGGGCACGAGCGGGAGCAGCGGCCTCAGTGATCCCTGAAGGTCGGCAACGTTGCACTGGGCTGCTCCATTAGGAAGCCGTCTTCTCCAGATGAGGGGATGCGAGGAGGAGGAGGGGGAGGAGGAGGAGGTGGAGGAGGAGGAGGAGGCGGAGGAGGAGGAGGAGGAGGAGGGGCTTATGACAAGCTATGTGCGCTCGCGTCATATCTACCCCTCCCTCCCATCCCTTACCATGGCGCTGATTTTCTCTATCCGCGGACGCGTGTCGTAGCGGACCTGCGGCTCCGCGCGCGCGTGCGTAGTGGGTGGTGGTGCGCGTGCGTGCGTGCGTGTGTGCGTGGTTGTGGTTGTGGTTGTGGTTATGGTGGTGGTGGTGGTGGTGGTGGAGGTGTGTGTGTGTGTGTTTGTGTGTGCGTGTGTGCGCGTGTGCTGTGGTGTGACGTGGCGTGGCGTCTTGGTGGTTTGGTGGTGGGCCAGGTGCGTGCGTGCGTGATGGCGGTGGTGGTGGTGGCGGTGGTGGTGGTGTGTGTGTGTGTGTTTGCGTGTGTGTGTGTGTGTGCGTGTGTATGTGTATGTGTGTGTGTGTGTGTGTGCGTGCGTGCGTGCGTGTGTGTCTGTGTGCGCGCGCGTGTGATGTGGTGTGACGCGGTGTAGCGTGGTGGTGGTGGGTGGGGTAGTGGGGTGGTGGTGGCGGTGCGCGTGCGTGCGTGCGTGCGTGCGTTGGTGGGTGGAAGTGGCGGTGGGCGGGGCGGGGCGCGGTGCAGTGGTGGCGGGCGGATGGGCGCGCGAGAAAGAGGCCCGCGCTGGGGCGAGAACGCCATCCTGAAGGACGGAGGCAAAACACCGATCCGAAAATGAGACCCACGCTGCAGCGGGAGCACGATTCGGATCGAGCGGGGCCCGAAAATGAGGCCGGCGCCTCAGCGAGAGCAGCATTTTGAACAAAATGCAGGCGAAAACCCAACTCCGGGGAATCCTGTGTGTAAAAAAGCAGGACGCGGGGGGGGGGGCGAACATTCCCAGCACGTCATCAGGGGAAGAGGGAGAGTAGTATTCATATTGACTAATTGTGAAGGCCACCGCCGTCTTGGAAGCTCCTCCACCGCGGCCTTCTTGGGAGGCTTGGGATCCTCCTTCTCCATCTTCTCCTCCTCCTCCACTATGTGTCGCGACTTGCTGCGAGGATGATGGGAGCTATCCCCGGCCCAGTTGTGAATGTACTCGCTGCCTCTCTTATTCGTTTCCTCCGACACTTCGCGGCCGTTTTCGCTGTCGTATATCGCTGCCCACCTGATGCCATTCAGAGCTGTTGACACGTAAGATGGGATCTTGTGCCTCGTGTTCCGCAAGCGGCCCAACCAGAAACGATTTCCAGGCGAGGTTGTGAGGGAAGGGTAGCGGCGGAGCATTGAGGAAATGAACGGGGGGAGGGCAGTCAGCCCGAAGATGGGGCCAGCCCCCAACAGTGGCCAATTTGGGATTTTGGGCCTGGAGCCTCTTGGATGACTCGCGCGGCCATCTACGGCCCCTAGGGCTCCTCGTGGGGCCCTTTTCTCAGCCGCATGGTTTTTGGTGTATACGGATATATGAGCAGTCGGCTTTGTGATTTATATATGCAGTCCATTTCATAAGTACGCTCGCACCCGCCCATACATTCACAGACACGCACATACATTCACATACGCACGCACACATGCCAGTATGCACGATCACACAAACACATATATATATATATATATATATATATAGGTGCACCTGCATATGGAAAGGTGTACATGTCTTTATACATATATCTTTACACACGCACATACGTGCACATGCACAGGTGCATATCCATATACACATGCATATATATATATGTAGCACAAATGTTTTTTTCCATTTGCGCATGCAGCTGTATTTACACATACGCGCGTGTATGCATATATATATATATATATACAACAACATACGTGCATGCATCCATGAGTACATGCATTCACATGTACATGTGTCCATGCATGTATGTATACACATACCTACAAACTTCCATACACAACCATGCACATACCAATCACACATGTATGTACAATCATTGACATACATACCCACAACCATATTCACATACATACGCATGCGCGCATATGCGTGCACTTACACATGCACATGTACACATTTACCCTTGTGTGCCAACACGAAATTGTATCCTCTCACTCTGCCCGATGCCTGTGGCCATTTGGCCTCAGGCGCTCGGCCGATTTTGAACAACGGTCGGGCGCAGATGCGGGCGGGCCCTTGGGCCGCGCACCATCGACGCCGCGCGGCGGCGGGTCAGCAAGGTGCTGCACGAGTGCGACCTCCTCGGCCCGCGCCTCGCGCTACAGGCGGAGAGGGCGGAGTTCGAGGGGACCCTCGTGCAGGTTGCGGAGTCCGCGAAGCTCAGCCTGGAGGAGGCGCGACAGCCGCTGAGGGAACTCGTGGATCGAGCCGTTGTTGAGGAACCCGTTCAGAATCGTATGAGGGCGATCCACGGTTGCCTTGAGCGGGCCATGCTGGAGGACGCCGCGGCGTGCCTCCGACAGACGGACGTCCGAGGCACGGCCGAGGCCCCGCCGCCGCCAAGGGCCCGTGCGATGGCGTGGACCCGCTTTGCGCGGAAGTGCCGCGCGGCCTCGGAGGACAGCAGGCGCGGGTTGGAGGTGCAGGAGTGGGCTCGCCTGATCGCGCTGTTCGAGGAGATGGGAGCGCCCTCCCTCGAGACGGCGCAGGCCTGCATTGGCCAGGGGAGGGCGAAGGACAGCATCACGGGCCGCACGTGGATCAACACGGCGAGGTCGTAGGTGCGAGCCATGGAGACGATGCGCAGGCGGCTCTTGCGCCGCCGATCATGCAGCGGCCGAGCCGTGGGGGCCGACGGTGCCCAGCCAAACCCTGAGCGCCTTGGTCTGGATGGTGCGGGTCGCGGGTGTCAACGCGAGCGACAAGGACTCCTTTCGGCTGGAGGCGCAGCAGGTCGTCGCGAACGTGGAGATGCTCTGTGGCGTGAGCAAGGGACCGACGACGAGGGCAGCGCGTTTGCCCGGTGCGTTCTTCGGGGCCTTGAATGGCTTGTCATGGACGGCGGCCTCGCGCCGTACCTGCGCGGGGTGGTGTGGCTTTGTCCCGTCAAGGTGCTGGCGGTTCTGCGTTGCGACGACCACAGCTGGCCCCGCCGCAGCGCTTCGCTTTTGTAGACAGAGGGCTGGCGGCCACGCTGGGGCGTGCGAGGGCCAGCGGAGCAGGGCGCAAGATGCGGGAGCTGCCGTTCGTGTTTCCCCGAGAGTGCTGCATGCTGGCCCCAGAGTGATTCCTGACGGTCTTCAACCTGCGGCAGGCGATCGCAAACTTCGAGAGGGACTACTTCCAGCCGAGGTGCAACGACGCGGGGCCGGCGGTAGTCCGCAAGCCCGCCGGGCACGCCGAGGCATCGGCAGCGGGTCAGGAGTTGTTCGGGAGGATGCCGACGCCAGCGGTGTCCGCAGGGGAGGCGGTCTAGCTCCTCGACTACGAGGAGGTCGTTGGATTCTGGACAGAGCACTCGGAGCGGGCGACGATTCCCTTGGCCATGGCGGCGTTGGGGATTTCGAAGAGTGACCGCGACTACACTGTCGGGGACGGCCACGCCCTTACGAAGAGCGCCAGAGGCATATCACTGATGCGACAGCGCTTGCGAGGGCGGCTGGGCGAGCATCCGGATCGACGACGGGGGGGGCCCCCACCGAGAGCGAGGGCGCCGAGGAGGTCGGCAGCTATCTCATCGCGCGCGCGAAGAAGCGCAACGTGGAGCGCAAGGTGGCCGGGCCCTACATGGTCGGGCAATGACTGGGCGAGCGGCAGGTCACCGTTGAACTCGATCTACTTCAACAGTGTGTGACATGCCAGAAAGATTATGCATGGTCTACCAGATGTGCCGGCGCCTCATTTCGGCCGAGATGGCGAAGGCGGCCGACGTAAGCGAGGGCGACGACTCGGGCAGCTCGTCGAGCTCCGCCAGTTCCGACGGGTCGGAGGGGGCCGCCAGGCCGCAGCGGCGGCGGGCTCCGCATGGCCCCCCAGGACAGTAGCACGCCAGCCCCCGCCCCTCCTCACGGGGCAGCCGCGAGGGCGCCGATGGTGGAGGGGCCGCGCGCGACCCATCGGGACGGGGCCCCCAAAAAACATTCGGGCGCGAGCGGGTGAGAGGCCGCGCCGGCGTGCCGACGGGGCGCCAGCCGCGGCGCCCGCGCCCGCGCGCGGAATGACCGTGGGCGGTCCCGACTCCGCAGGCGCGGGCCGCGCCCAAGTGAAAACCTTTGCCCGGGTGCCCCCCGCGTTGGCGACGTCCACCCTGCCCGCGGGTTCCTGTCCGCCGCGGGCGCGGGGGGCTTGGCGGGCGCGGGTGCGCTCGCGTTGGGGGGGGGGAGGGGGTTCTATGGCTGACGGGCAGGGCTTCGGGGGCGCGCTGCGTGTCACCGTCGCTCTGCCGAGCTGGGGGGGCCGTTGCTCGGTCCGCCGCAGTTAGTTCAGCTCGAGCGGTTTGGACTAAGAACCGCGTGGTCTCCGGCGCTGTCCCGGTAGGCCATCGGCGTCTCCCGCGCGGCCCCGGGCGCGGGGCGCCTCGACGGCGCGCTGCTGAAACTCGCGCAGGATGAGCGGGATGCTGCCGACGATGAATATGCGACTTCGGAGGGCCCTTCGGGGCCATCCGCTGGCCCTGCCAGATGTACGCGTACATGGGCGCTGTAAGGCGGAGTGGGTGTTGAAATTCTGCCCCCCAGAGCTTTCGGGGGGTCTGATGTCGCGCGGGGCGGCGCTGGGCCTGGACTGGCGACGTCTCCGCGACGCGAAGGCGTCTGACTTCGACGAGCCCCGCAGGAACCGCGTGGCGGCCGCGGACCTGAAGCGGGATGCGCTCGGCGAGATGGCGCAGGCCTTCAGTTGCTCCGCGAGGCGATCGTCGAGAAGAGGGCGGCCGCCGAGGGCAGGGCGCCCGCGGCGGGGCGCGGCCGCAGGGGCCGCGGTCGCGCGCCCCTGGCGCCGCGGTGGCAACTTCGCCCAGTACTTCGTTTGCGATTTCGCGCGGGCGGAGCTGGAGGCGGCGGCGGCGGTGCGCGGGGCCCCGCGCGACCTTTCAGGGCGGGGGGCCAGCGCGAGGCCCCGTGGGGCGCCTGGCCCCGGGACGGGGCCCCAGCGCGGGCAGTCTTGAAACCCCGCCTTCTTCTGGTGGGCGCGGCCGCGGGGTGGGGGCCCCTCCCCCGCTTCTGCCCCCCCCCCCCCCCCCCTCCCTCCCTCCCCCATTTTTTCTTCCGCCGCGGCGGCGGGGGGCCAGGGCGGGAAGGGCGCCCGCCCTGCCGCGGCGGGCTCTGCGGGGGGCGGGGGGAGTTTCGGGGCCGTGCCCGTGCCCGTGCTCCTCCCTCTGCGCGGCGGGGTGCATCAGGTGGGGCTGGCGGGCCTCGACGCTGGCAGCGTCCAGTGGGAGGCCCCGAGGACCGAGCACCCCGCGCCTCCGCCTTTTTCTCCTTGGTGACCCACTCCCGCCGCTGAAAGTAGGGCATCGGGTGCCTGGGAATGGCCTGGGCCCTTTCGCTACAGGGCACCCGTCTCCGCCGCCCGTGCAATGTGCAGGAGGCATTGACGTCGCCCGCCTTTTTAAACGACCATCGCGTCTCTTGCAGGACCATTCGAGGATGCGCCCCCGTGTGCCAACGCGAATTTATTTCCCCTCGCTCTGCCCGATGCCTGTGGCAATTTGAGCTCAGGCGTTCGGCCGATTTTGAAGGACCCACCCACCACCCCGGGGCATCAAGTTCCTGGGAGTTGCTCGGGCCTCTAACGGCATCCGTTTCCGCCGCCCGTAACAGAGGCGTCAACGTCGCAACCTTCTTTTACCACCAAGGCACCGTTTGTAGGGACATTCGACAGTACATGCGTGTACGGACACCCACATATACATATATACGCCGTGGCGCAATGACTCGACATGTTTCGATGAACCTGCTTATGCGTGTTTATATACAGTGTACATGTATACATGTATACGCTATACAAGTATACATGTATACATGCATATGTGTATATATTTGTGTATATGCACACACATATATATTTATATGTATATATATGTATATATGTGTGTATGTATGTATGTATGTATGTATGTATGTATGTATGTATGTATGTATGTATGTATGTATGTATGTATATATCTATATATATATAAACCCGGCACCGGCGACAACTTGGCATCCTGTTGCGGTGCATGCAGCGTGGAGTTTCTGAGATTCTCGTAGGGCCATCCTGGAGGCCATCGGCCAAACGCAGGGGCAGTTAGATTTATTTGTCGCCCAGAAAGTATTTGTCCCTCTCGGGGCTCTCTTTTGGTAGCCTTTGGTGCCTTTGTGACTTTGCGGGGCCCTTGTGGAGCCATCAGGAGAGCTCAGGAGCCAGTCGGATACGATTAATCGAGAAGACAAAACCATTGAAAGCGTGTGTCAAAACACGACGTTTGCTTCCTTGCATTAGATTTGGGGGTTTTGTGGCCACGTCTGGACGTATTGCAGGTATCAGGAGGTTTTTGTTTGGGTATTCTGGGGGCTACCGCGAACGAGGATCGACAACCTGGCGCGAATTTGGAGGCCGTCTTCGGACTGAACGGAACAACGTCGGAACTATCTTGGAGCCATTTGTAATGCTCTGCCTGTTCGTGCCCTCTGCGGGATGAACTTGCCCGCCCCCGCCAGGGCCAGAATCGAGGGACCAGCGCGCCGTCGCTCGTGCATTGGGCTGGGCAGGGCCGAGCAAAGACAGGTTCAGGCAAGGCTGGCCTCCTGGATGGCGCCCAGGCTAGGCCAGGATGGCTTTCAGCATGACTGCCAGTGGCCCAAAGATGGCTCCGAGGTGGCCCTGGAGCCTTCGAGGGATACCAACGATATGCCCAAGTCAAGCAGCTCTTGTTGCTCACAGCAAGATTGTTTGCTGTGTGTTTCGGCTTCTCGCCTAGGCGGCTTCCGGTGGGTTTTGGACGCCTCAAGGTGGCTCCAAAATGACCCAGAGGGCTACGAGGGTTACCGATGCAGGGCTCCAGTGTGTTCCCCCAAGCAGCTTTCGGATCCGAGGCTCGGCCCAGCAGAGTTTCCCCCCAAATGGCCTTCTGCAGGCTCCACGAGGCCCCTGGAGGGCCCCGGTTTATCTTGGCATGTGGTGCAGACGACGCACGAAGAGAAGAGAGCACATGTGAGACACGAAATGCTTGGCACGAGCGCCGGTCGGTGAAGACTCTACGACTGTTCTGTTCGGTTCAAGATGTGAAGGAAACAAGGGCACAGCACGGCAGGGGACTCATGCAAGAGCATGGTCAGAGGGTCATTTGTGCAATTGAATCCATTTGTGTTGCCATGCATGTCCGCCGTTTCGTCATAGTTTTCATCGCTTGTCTCCTGATTACTCCCAGGACTTCAGACGATATTGTGCAATTTTGTTTGGCACTGCGGTGGTTTGTGGAGAGTTGGGCGTTTGTGAATTTTCACAAACGCCGCCGTGCGATGCCGTGATTTGGACGCGTCTCCAGTGACGGGGCGCCATGGTTTGGTCGATGTTCTCGCGAGCCTCTTGGTCAAGGCTTTGGCTCACCCACTCCCTGGGCAACCAAGTCGCCGACTGGTTGAGTGGCCTCATGTTGGAGCTGCGCTTCGACCGCGTTTCGGCTCACCGTCTACGCTACTCACCATCCCGAGCTTGGAGTCCGGGAACTGTCCGGGATCCCATTGGGCAGAAGTGTTCACATTTTGCACAACCGTTTTTCAAATTTCGGTGTCGTGATTCCGAACCTGGGGTCGACGCTAAGTCAGTTGGGGCGGGCAACGGGCTTGCAGCCTACCGTTCACGAGCGCCTGCCCGCTTCTCCGCCGCTGAGACCGCTGTTGCATAGTCGCTTGGGAGCCGTCCGCTCTGTTGTTTTTTTCTCCTCCGTCTCTGCCAACCTCTCCAGAGTGAGTGCGTGTGTGTGTGTGTGTGTGTGCGTGATTGTGATTGTGATTGTGATTGTGATTGTGAGGTGGTGTTCTCGCCCGTTTTGTCCTGCGTCGCTTTCCTTACGCCTCTTGCACATCTTGCAGCCTAGCGGTCGGCTGTGCCCAGCGCCCTCTGTTTTCTGTTTCCCGTTTTGGCACGTGCGCACACGGGTGCGGCGCGATGTTACACAGTACAGTGGCTGCCTGATTTCTGTTTTGGCAGTCTACCGCCGTCTGTGACCCAGCGGCGGGTCGGAGGAACGTGTATGTATGCGTTTCTGTGGTGGGTGGTCGTGGTGGTGGCGGTGTGTATGTGTGTGTGTGTGCTGGTGTGTGTCTGTGCTGTTGATCAAACGACCTTCGACCCCCCACGCCTTCTCTGCCTGTCAGCTCAGCCTGTTCATACGCTCTCTTCCCGCCAGCGTCCTCCGCATCGCCACCCAGGATGGGGGAGCCCCCTGCCGCTCCGGATGGGGGCTCCGACGCGACGTCGTCTCAGAAGAGGGCCCCCTCCCGCGTCCAGACACTGAGCGTTCTCCAGGGTATCTTGCCACCTTCACCTGCGTCCCCTCCGTCGTTCTCGACTGTCACTCGTTCACTCGCTGAGCGTCGATTGCTCGCCTGTCGTGTCGCTTGCCGTGCCGCCCGTTGTGTCGGCTACTTCGCCTCCCATGCGCACCCCCCCCTGGTCGGTAGTTTCTTCGCCTCGACGCTGCGCGCGAGGCCGCGGCCGCCAAAGGAGTGCGTGTGTGCGTGCGTGCGTGTGCGTGCGTGTGTGTGAGTGTGTGTGTGTGTGTGTGTGTGTGTGAGCTGTTGTGTGAGCTGTTGTGTGTGTGCGTGTGCGTGTGCGTGTGGGTGCGTGTGTGCGTGTGTCTGTGTGTATGTGCGTGCGTGCGTGCGTGCGTGCGTGCGTGCGTGCGTGCGTGTGCGGCCCCTGTGCTGCCGCTGTGGTACTGGACCACTTCGCCGCTCGCCGCCTTCTGTCCGCCGATTGCTTCCTCTCCCCTCCCTCTCCCCTCCCTTTCCCCTACCCTACTCTCTGACGGCCCCCTCACCTTCTGGGAGGGCCAGCCTGGGCCGCTCCCTCAGCGGCCGCCGCCGTTTCCGGCGCGCCGCCTGGCTCAGCCGGCTCTCGCGGGCCCGCGACTTTTTGCGGCTCCGCCGCCTTCAGCTCGCTCGCCACCGTCGCACCTTGACGTGCCCCCTTGTTGGCCCATACTGGCTTCCTCGCTTTCCCCGCCTTCCAGTCCTGGTAGGCTTATGCCACCTTCCGCCATCACTGGAGTTTTATTTACACATCGCCCTTCCCCGCCATCGAGGCCGTGATGGTTACAGCTGCTGCCAGTTACGAGACCCCTGAGAGTTTGGCCGGGCGTAGACGCGCTCGCTCCGCTGCTTGCACTCGACTTTCTACGCCCCGTCGCCGCGCGCAGGCCGAGACGCCAAAAGAGCGTGCGTACGCGCATTCACTGTCACGTTGCCTCCTGCGTGCTTACGGTTTCGGCGCGTGCACACTTCCGTCTGCGTCACTTCGCCATGTCGCCGCGCGCGCGGCCGCGACGCCAAAAAACACGTGTGCACCCATCGGCGGAAGAAAATATTGAGCGTGTGTTGTGCGTGCCCACGCACTTGTTACATGAATGGAAGCCCGATCTATTGCACTCGGCCAACGCAGCTGTATCGGGAGGACATGACGCTGAAGCAGGGGGGGTCTTTTCAGCTGACGGGGCTGCTGCCACGGTCGATCGCGACCTAAACTTCGGATTCCCCAAAGAGGCCAATAACGGGTTAAGTAGTTCGTGAAGGGTGGACGTCCAAGAAGGCGCAGCGACCCACCCCGCAGGAGGGGGAGGCAGGGCATGCAGCAATCTTTGTGGGGGGTCGCCGTGCTGTCCTGCGGGCCGCCCCTGAAGGACGGTCATCCGCAATCCCGAGACATCCTTTGCATGGACGGGAGACCACCGGGAAGGAGGCCGCCCTCGGACTCGGACGACGAGCGGAAGGGGAAGGCGCCCTGCACGTGCGTGACGCTCCGCGTTGCGTTTTCGCCGCCCACCAATCGGTCGCTCCAGTCTGCTAATTCCGATTCCCCCCAGGCCACAGCTGCGAGATGTCGGACGGGGTCTCCGCTCGACGGGATCCCTCGCGGGTTCCGTCAACTCGTGCCCATACACCTAGCGCTTTCGCAGCCTTGCCCTCCCCCCTTTTCTCCCCTGCTTTTGAGCAATGGCCACTTGTCGGAAACGTGCCTAAATCTGCCACCCTGTCAGGACGTGGGAAACTGTCGAATAGTTTAGTTTGGCCTGCAGTGGAGCGTGTTTGGCCGACGTGGGGAGGTGAGGGGTTCTTGTTCGCATGGGTGCTGAGACTAAGGTACCGACCGCAACAACAGCTTTTAACTCAAACGTTGCCATTATCAGTGTTTGTGCTGTTGGCCTTTCGAATGCAAATCGCAATCGCACGATCATGCCATGTGAAAATTCGTGTCTGCAGTCATGCCAATGACGACCGCTCACTGGAAATCATATCCTTGCCCACCTCGAAGTTGCAGTGCTCCACCTGCCGGCATTCCTGGCGATACTGCATCTTATTGCATGGGACACCTTGGTTTGGCCATCCATGTTCCTGGCAGCTATTGCTGATGCCTTACGGCTGGTGCCGCCGACCCTGGAGAACGACCCTCATGAGGGAAGAGGGAGGCAGACATGATGGGGGAGGTCGGAATGAGACGCTCTCAAGAGTTTTCGGGAGCAGCACTGCTTTGCCTTGAGGGGCTCTTGGGCCACTACTGGCAACTATTTCACTGGTTAGTTACTTACCACCGGGATGATTTGGACCGCTTTAGTAGCAAACCTGGGTCGTACCAATTGTGACGGTTACTGCAGTAACTCTCCCCAGAGAGGCGAGTTGTTCGGCGCGCATCACCTAGCATCCTCCAACCCGCTAGCACCCTGCGTCGAGGGCGTTGAGGCAGGTCTGGCAGTGCCTGCGCCGGCAAATTCCACTGCTTTACGGCAGCCGTGCTTACTTGTAACGGCTCGGAGGCGATTATCTTGAGACAGAACAGATTTTTTTGAAGATGGGGGGCGAAGACCATGACCTCGGAGCTCTTAGCATGCGTCGTGATACTGAAGGTTTCACTCGAAACAGGGCTTCATAAGATGCAGCGTACCACGGTAGTCCTCCTGCTTTAGGCCATTTGGGGCTCCAGCGTGATGAATGAACTGTTGTAACATCAAACATGGCCGAACACATCTATCACTTTGTTGGTGCTTGCATCGAACTGCATCTGAAGTAGGCCTATACCAGGCAGTCGGGGGAAGTTCTCTCTTGTGAATTGTTTTCGGACCATGCGTCGACGAGAATACAAACATAACTAGAATCAGTTCATCCTCGCGAACAGAAAGGACATCATGACACACCCCCTCTCACCTCGACGCTTCCAGAATGAGACCTCGGGATGCTGCGTGTCAGAGTGCTCCTCCCAGTCTGCGCCGCGCGGGGATCTGTGTTCTGCAGGTGTAGTTGAAGAGCACGCTACACTTTGCAGCAGTGAGGGTTGCAGCTCCAGCAGATGAGAACCTCTGCTGCGAGTTGTAAGCACGGCATCGGGGTACGACCAGCGCATGCAACACTGTTGGCCGAGATTGTGGCGGACGACGGGGGATAGCGCACGGGGGGGATTGGCGAATCAGCTCCGCGCACGTGGTTCGCTGGTGCTTTGAGCATCTCCTGGCCGCCCCCGCCGCCAGAGGCCCCACTGTATCGAGGAAAGCGCCCAGTGGCGGGGCCCAGACCAGCTGCAAGCAACAGCTTTCGTAGCCCCCCTTCCCCAATGCTCCGCGGGAGACCCTCGTCATCTGGTTTTCGGGTCATGCTTGGGGTCTCGGGCGGGCTGTCAGGAGGATTCGGGAACCGCTGGAACGCTCTCGGCTAGGCTTAGCTGCCAGAGAGCACTCTGAGGCTGGAAAACCGCAGAGTTTTGACGAACGTACCCGAAAACCTCAAACCTCGATCGTCACACTCCAATCACCCACTTTCGTCCTTCGTCTCTCTCTACCTCTCCCTCTCTCTCCATCCCTCTTTTTGGTTCTCTGTCTCTCTATATGTACGTCTCTCTCTCTCTCTCTCTCTCTCCCTTCTGTTTTTTGTTGTTGTTCTCTCTCTCTCTCTCTCCTCTCTCTTTTTCTCCTCGAGCCGTCCAGGGACCTCCTCTCTCTCTCTCTTTCTTTCTCCCCCAGCGTCGATTTACAATATTGCGGAGGGTGGTGGCCGGGGACGACCACGCCGCCGAGGGGGAAAAGGCCGCAAGAAGCAGGCGGCGCAGGACGGCTTCCGCCCCATGGCGATGTGTACTTAGTGTGCGCTTAGTGTGTGTGTGTGTGTGTGCTTAGTGTGTGTCGGTGTGTGTGTGTGCGTGTGTGTGCGCGCGTGTGCGTGTGTGTGAGAGAGAGAGTGTGTGTGTGTGTGTGTGTGTGTGTTTGCGCGTATGCGTGTGCGTGTGCGTGTGAGTGTGTGTGTGGTGTGTGTTGGGGGAAAGAGGAGGTAAGGATCGTGTGTGTGTGGTGTGGTGTGGTGTGGTGTGTGTGTGTGTGTGTGTGGGACTCGATGGGGCCGGGCACCCTCTCCGCAGAGCAAACGCCCTGCCGCCCCGCGCTGAGGGAGGAAAGAACCCCCCCCGCACAAAGGAAACAGCATAAGCGCAAAGAGGCCACGATGCCCCCACGCCAAGCCAGACCCCCAAGGGCCCGGCAACCCAAGCCGCACCAGCCTCCAACCGGGAGATGGGTAAGACGCGGTCCATGCCAGAGAGGTTCCATCCCCCCCGCTCCGCAGCTCCTCAAGTCATGAAAACCTTCCCGATGCGTCCGCCACAGCAGACAGGCCGCCTTCCCCTTCCCGTCCTCCTTCCAGTCGAAGTGCGACGATCGCTACCGTCTTCACGCGGCGAGTCCGCTCGCACGTCCACGGCCCCACGCAGCATGCGCCACGCGCCTCCCTCCGAAAACATATCTCGTACTCCGCCTGGTCGGACTTTGGGAACATCGAGCTCAGGTAGCGTGCGCTCCCCAACACGGCACTTCACAGTATACACCGTACGTCGCGAACACCTTGCCCAGGAGGAAGAACACCATCAACGGCAATTTTCCCATGTAGTGGATTTCAGAGAAACTTCACCACAGGAAGCGCCATGGCTTCGAGGCGCTGCGCCTCTACGAAGTGGGAGTTAAGGATCGGGAGGCACCGAATGGCGAACAGGAGGACGGCTATGACGATGGCGATAACGATGACGATGATGATGACGATGCTGATGCTGCTGCTGCTGATTGTTGTAGTGATGATGACGACACGTGACGACGAGGGTGATGTTGTTGCGTCTATTGTTGTTATTGTTGCTGCTGGTGATGTTTATGATGAGGACAATGGTGATCATGCTGCTCCTGATTATGATGGTGGTGGTGGTGGTTTCGACGACGACGACGACGACTTTCAAAACCCACTCGGCAACTCACTGAAATAGAAGAACCTGTTGAAGATGTCCTGGCCGCTTGGGCCACGTCAACACCAACGCGTCCCTCATCACAGCCTCCCGATGAACTGTCTGGAACGAAGGCGCGACTAAAGATGGCCAAGGAACTGGGTCGCCTCATCTGCCTCGAATTCCTCGGGAGGGTGAACGTCCTCCGCGTGCCCCACGGGAGAACTCACGCGGGCTGCTACTTCGTGCCGCTCCCCTTCCTGACCAAGTTGCCTTTCGGGGCGCGGCCTTGCTTGCCCTCGGCCCCCATGCCTCGGAAGATGCACGCGAGGGCATGGTTGAGGTCCACCAGCTTGCAGTTCTCTGGGAGGGGACACACACACACTCGAGGGGTGCGTGTGGGTCTCGTTGAGATCGGCCTCCTCTGCCTTCTTGACAAGCTCCTCCTCTGCCGCGCCCGCGACCGTGCCGACCACGACCTGGCTTCGCAGGTCGACTCTCATTCTCGTCATTTGCCACCGTACGTTTTGCGGAAGCCACAGACCTTGCACCATTCCTCGATCTCGATTGGGTCCTTGCACACCTCGGTGTGGAGCTTGCGACCCTCCGCAAGGTACAGGGAAGCATGCTAGTACGGACGGGGCAACTGTCCAAGGCTACCCTTGCACCCTTGCCCCTTCGGTATTCGGCATCCTTCGGCATTCTGCTGCGCTCCGCGCGGAAAACGTCAATATGGCGTTCCAAGACCCTTGCATCCTTACCGCGCATCCTTACTATCCTGGTCGAGTGTAGCCCAGAAGGTCGCGGGAGGCGCCCCGTGCGAAGTAGTTCTCGATATCGCTCAGAACGCTGCCGAACAGGTACAGGTGCGGGCTCCCCATCTTGTGGCCGCCTCCGACCTCCTTGACCTTGGTGTTGTACCGCTTCTTCTGATCTGCGCGTCGCGGGGGGGGCGAGCCTGCAGAGTTGATCCTCGAACTCCAGGGTCCAAATCCTCCGACTGTCGCAGGAGCTTCTGGTCCGACGCGCCCGTGTAGTCGTCCTTGAGCTTCTTGGCTACTGGGGCGCCGTCCTCAGCTGCACCGTCTGCTTGTGCTGGGATGTTTGGCTGCCGCAGCCCGCTTCCCCCCGCCATCGTTGCCAAACAATTCGGGCGCCCAGTCTGTGACTCCGAGTGTGACCCCCTAGTGGGGCATGAGGACGGGACAATGCTCGAGCTGTAAATGCCAACGGAGCTGCTCGGTGGAACCCACTAGGATTACACACATAGGGCACATCTCTGCAGTGGCCTCTTGAACATCTAGCCCTGAGCGCGTTATGTCTGCAATGCAATAGCCTTTCAAGAAGCTCGTGCGCATATCATTGCTTGCTACAGCTTTGTGTTTGACCACAGTGCTGCATGCTAGACATTGGTTGTTGGCCGTCATGTGCCGTGCAACATGTCGTACTCCGTGTGTGCTAGTCGTGTTGTGCGCGAGGTGTTTAATTAGAGCGTGCTGAACAGCAAATGTCGCTTCACAGGGTAACCCGCCGACTCCCAAAGCAGGACACATACATACACATCCCTCCTCGTTGATCCTCTTCGTCTCCTCCTTGTACTCCTCGATGTGTGTACGAAAGTGCGCGCGCAGGACAGTGGGGTCCAGCTCGGGGAACTTCTCGTGCCCAATGATCTCGACGAGGCTATCTTCCACTTCAGCTAAGGGGTCACACCAATCGTCGCTAACTCGTAATGCTTGTATGTCGTTGACGACCTGGAGGGCCCAGAGGTTCACGTTGGAGCCATTGAAGAGCCCGTTGGGGAGGACAACGGGTTCTTTTTCGGAACTCAGCTTCCCGAGCATCGATGCGAGCGGCTGGACGGACACGTGCGGCGCCCAGGCCATCTGCTGCATCCATTGGATACGGCGGATCCGCAACCCTACAAAAAGGAGCCACCTGCAGGCGATGAAGTACATTACACGTCATGAGATGCCGTGCAATTCAGGAGGACCCTGCCACACTTCAAGACCCTGCTCTCGACGTCGGCCACGTCGCTCTTCTGGAGGGGGGTCTGCGTTCTGGCTCAGACCTCGAGACCACTCAGCGCGCTGTTGATCAGCTGGCACTTGAAGATATCTAGTACTTGTTGTCCCAACACTTCCTTAGCTGAGCCCATCCCCTCTCGACTGCGATGATGCGCTGCTCGATTTCCGCCGTCGTGGTGAACGTGTTAGTGAGCCTGGGGCCTAAGTATCTCGCCACCGTTGCCTTTTTTCCTGCAGCACCCTCCCGTTGTTGATGCTGATTGTGTCGTTGTAGCTACCCTTGCCGCCGCCGTAGTACACGTCGACCTTCTTGCTGATGGTCTGGTGGGTGCCGATGAGGCCCTTATCGATCATGGCGTTCTGAGCTGTTCCCGCCTTTCTCGCTGTGGACGTGTTCGGTGCGAGAAACTTGTCTGCCAAGTCGTCGACGAAGCCCGTGACCTTTAGCTGGGTCTCGTCCTCTGTGATGGGAGACGTCACTGTGAGCTTGTGAATGAGTTCATCTGCAAGATTTGCGTCATGAGCCTTCTCCACCGTGCGTGCGTAAGTGCCCACGAATACGTCAAATGTCCATGTATCCCTGGGAGACATCCACTACCCATCCTGAAATAACGGCCTGGCGCATCATGACTTGTGATGGTGGCTCGTTGTATACGCTCACGTGCTAGCTGAACATCCGGAAGCCGAACGAGTTCAGAAACAGTGTCGTGTACATTTGGATGATCGATCGGGTAGAAGGCGTTCGTTCGTGGCGTCGTGGGATCTCGGAACATGGCTGAACCCTGCTTGTAGGAGCCACCAGCTTGCAATCTGTTGGACCAGTACTGCACTTTTTCGCCTTCGCTGGTGAAGACCTCCTTCCATCCAATTTTGTTCCTATCTGGCAGGTGCCGCGAGCCTGAGGTGCTTAGAAAAGGCGTGGCCTAGCCGGCACATGATTATGATGAACCGCTTCATGCCTGCCGTCCGCATTCTAGCTGCATTAGCGCGGTGCCACCCCTCTGGTACTGTGTTGGTGATGCGCACGAGGAGGAGAATTTCGAGCAACGTTAACTTAAACTTGGGGTTGGTATCCTCGTGCTGTCCTCTTGGAAGCCCACGCCCTGCTTAGTAGCATCATCGATCCGCTTATTAATACTGCCGGGGCGAAGCATCATGCGGAAACACTCGGCTAGTGAATAGTGAGATCGCCAGGCTCGCCAAACAACGTACACATGGTTCATTTCTAATTATTCGAAAGTTCTTTGATTTTTTGGGGGGCAAAGATCCTTTCATTTCTAATTGTTCTATCCTGGGCCTTTTCCTGGCCACTAGGGGGCCAGGACCAATTAGAAACGAGCAGAATTAGAAATGAGCACGATTAGAAATAAACGACATGTACATGTCCAACCGCGCGTTGGTGACCAAGTAGGTCTTCCCATGCCTGTTCATAATTTCCTGGAAGGGGTTATTGCCGTTGACGACAGGGTGGTGGTGGTGGCAGCTGTTTTCGAGTGACTTCTGTGGCTCGGCAGCCTCCCTCTGGGCCTATCCTGTTGATCCAATCGTGGGCGTTCGCCGTAGACGTAGCGGAGCGGTACACGCGTCCACGATGCCTTCCACGCCCACTTGCCAAAAGCGTGGAAATGCGAGCATCGGGTACCTGTCTTTCATCATTGCAGCCCCTTCACACGCTTCACATCGTTGTTCGAGAAGGCGATCGAGGTACTTGCGCTTGGCGCGCTTGAGCTGTCTGGAGATCCTCGTCAGCTCGATTGTGATGTTGCAAGTGTAGTCTTCCGCCTGTTGGTCCAAATCGCATAGTCGCTCCCTGGCGTCTCG